TTTTTGAGCACTGCAATAGCTCATTGATAAACACAGTCCCTCTGATTGCTTGCCCGATAAAGTGACGTTGAATTATACCATGCACAATAATAAATGTTTCTACAAATAGAAATATTAAAATTATGACATATTGTGATTTTATATTTTTAAGCATTCTTGTTATATCAGATTTAGATTAGATTTAAAATTATAGAATTCTATTAACTCCTCAGTAGAACCCTTATTTTATTATCACCCATAGAATACTATGCCTACTATCAGGCTGTAAGACAGTGAGGTCTGACGCACAGGGACTCATAGATGGCTCTCATTAAAAAAGTCTGTCAATACTAAGAGACATAAACAGATGTGAGGGTCATGTGATATTTTGAATATTGTGATGAGAAATAACAAAACAAAAACTACGTTCATATGTGTTTAAATAATTTATATTTATAAACATTTAATTACATTTATAAAAATTTATTTATATACATTTTCATTTTGAAATATATAAATAATTGCAAATGGAAACTACATTTGTTAAACAAATAAAGTGTTATTTCAATACTACATTTCACTTTAATAATCAAACGTTTACTCGATTGTGTACATGGTGTGATAGTGCGATATTGATATCATGTTTGTGTATTTAAATTGAATACATTGTAGTGGCGTTAATCATTAGCAATGAGTTGTAAAGAGAATGTTATTATATGCCATAGCACTAGTTATAAATACATTATAAATAATGTCTATAAACCCCCATTTTCTTATCTAGATAAGAAAATGGGGGTTGACAAAATTATTAACGTAATTTATGAGCCAATAAACAATATCATAACGAGCGCTAATTTTATTGACCAATCAGTTTGCATTTGACATTATTGTACTGAATGACGTATGAGTGATACTGCAAAATATACATTGCATATCAGTTCAGCTGTACAATAGTGCTGTATATTGTATATAACATAAGCACTCAATACATAGTGCCAAAAGCGGCATTAGTTGTATATCATATCCGTTGCCATGAGTTTACTGTTTATAATAAATATCATTGACTATAAAGTAAATGTAATGAACAATTAACAATTCAATTAAAAAATTAATTAACGATTCATTTATTTCAATAATAAAGTCATTATGATTAGGAAAAGCGTAAAAAATAATACTACTTTAAAAGTATAATAAAAACATTAACTAATAGTAGTAAACCACACAACATTAGCTATTGATAATTGATAATTAGTTATAATTGTTATGCATTGCTTTCTGTCAATAAAATAACTTTTAATTTTGGTCCATTTCAATAGACTGCAAATGAATGATATGTCTTGAATGTCTTCTTTGCCATCATGACTAACAG